CCTGATTCAAGCATGGAACCCTGATCCAAGCCTAAAACCCTGATCCAAGCCCAGAACCCTGATTCAAGCCCAAAACATCCCAGAACCCTGATTCAAGTCTAGAACTCTGATCCAAGCCCGAAACCATCACAGAATTCTGATCCAAGCCTAGAACCATGATTCAAGCCCAAAACATCCCAGAACCCTGATTCAAGCCTAGAACCCTGATCCAAGCCCAAAACCATCACAGAATTCTGATCCAAGCCTAGAACCATGATTCAAGCCCAGAACCCGATCCAAATCTAAAACATCGCAGGATCCTGATTCAAGCCCATAACCCTGATCCAAGCCCAGGCCCATGGTCCATGCCTAGAACCACGATTTATGCCCAGAACCTTGATCCAAGCCCAAAACATCACAAAATCCTGATCCAAGCCCAGAACCATCACAAAATCCTGATCCAAGCCCAGAACCCTGATTCAAGCCTAGAACCATGATCCAAGCCCAGAACCCTGAACCAAGCCCAGAACCATGATCCAAGCCCAGAACCCTGACTCAAGCTCAGAACCATCACAGAACTCTGGTTCAAGACCACATTTGTTACTGAGCAACAGTCCATTCAGACAATTAGGCCTGAAAGACTCGGTTTTATTTGTTTTCTGTGACCTTAAATAAATATTTAGTTTGTATTAGTGAGTGTGAATTTTAGTTAGCGGATGCTAATAGCTGTTAGCTCAAGCTAATTAGCACCAACTGAAAATAAACTTAAATTTTGGAAGCTCTTGTTCAACAAACTAGTCATTTAACCCAATTTTTGTGAAGAACACTTTACGCAGATTGACTGGTAATCCAGCGTATTTAACTTAAGCTGTTCAGTCCTAATGTGAACCAGGGACTGGTTTAACCCAGCCATTTTTAGTGTGCTGTTCTTGTTAATAATATTACTAATTATCTGATGGGTGGTTTGTTTGGAAGGCAGACTCACGGCGCTCCAGCAGATGAGATGGTTGGTATCTGGATCCTCCACCAGTGTCCACAGCTTGGTGAGAAAGGCGGGAACATTGCTGGCATAGCTGCCATCGACGCCCACGGCTCCTGGAGACTCCTGCATGCCGACTCCGGCTCCTGTCCACCTCAGCAAACCAAACGCGTGTGATTATGTGTGTTTACACAACTAGTCCATGTCTGAGAAAGTCCACTTCTGATGTTCCGTCACTGATAATCCCAGGTTTGTCTCTTTGTTTCCATCTCAGTTGGTCAAACTGTCTCTGTGCGTCTTCTTTGTGTCTTTACAAGAGTTTTTACCTTTAGCCGTCCTCTCTTTGTTCTTGTCGTCCAACTGAATGTGTTCACAGAAGGTCCATGTCAGCACACACACACACACACACACACACACATACACACAATTTAACCCACCACCAACCCCCGGCCTCCCAGAACAAAACCCCGTCCACACAATGAGGTCCAATAATGGGCCTCTGTCCCCGTCAAAGAGCTGCTGGTTGAGCTCAGAGTGACTGAAAAGACACGTCATGTTTTATTTCTGAGAATGACTGAAACTGTTTTTATCCTGTTAGAATTCATCAGAAAACATGAAAACACAATCTGAGCTCTTCTGATTAATCCTGACTTCAGTTGCTCTTCAACCATGAGATTTTAAAAAGCAAGCATCGAATCAAAACTAAAATAATCTGAATTTTTTAAAACTTATTTTGTTTCCTCTTTTTAATTCAGAACTGTACGTTATTCCCCAACAAAGTCAGTCACACAGGAAGTCCAGGGTCATCGTGTATTTCAGGCCGGCAGACGTTCAAAGCTTTAGTTAAAATCAAAACAGCTGTAGGTTCAGTCAAACTAAACACCTGATATTTTCTGACTGAGTTAATAAAATGTTGAAATTCAAACATGAAAGTTTTATTAAAACACTTGAATAAGACTTGATTATTTGTACTTTTATATAATAATATTTTTTAAAAGCAAGACTGAAGTCCAAGTGGAGCAAATAGATGCTGACCATCAGGTTATTTAGTTTTTAGTTTTTCACATAGAGAAATGCTTTGACAGTATTTTCAGTACTTTTACCAGCAGATGGCAACAAAATACAAACTTTACACTCAAATTGTGGTTTTTACCAACATGTGGGCAACGGTTAATCTTTGTAATCTCTTTATCTCTTTATAACTAATAAGATTTGGAAGACACTCAAACATTTTTTAAGTCACCATAAAAATCAAAGAGTTTTCAGTGCAAATAAAACTGAATGTTTAGATTTCACTGCATTTTTTTGTGCACCTAGCATCAAAAACTGTACAATTAAAAATTTCTAACAAACATTTTCTTATTCATAAATTACAATTAAACACAACTCACTGATGTGGAATGTTTTATTTAACTGCACGTTTTCTTGGCGCCGCTGCAGAGAAACTGGTGCCTCAAAACTGCAAAATGTAAACGCTGCAAGCCGGTCAGGTGATGGGGCACATGACCCTCTATGAACAACAGAGCCAATCAAGCCTATTGTTAGTCGATGGCCCTATTTTCATGTGACCAACTTGTTTGTCCAGGTGGAGGCGGAGCTTATAAAGCTGAGTTTCACCTGAAACTCTTCAGACTGAAGAAGTCTCTTGGAGGAGAGACGAAACGTTTCACTAAAGAAGAACCATCCAGAGGACCTATTTATTTTTTCTTTTTGAGTTTTGAGCAATAATTAAAATATAAAGGCTACAATTTATTTTGAATATTCATTATTATCACATTTTCAACATTCCAAACATTGGACTTTGTTTTGTGTCATGTTTATAAAAAACGACATCGGTATTAAATCTGAAAGTGGTTTATTTGGCAAAACGTGAGCAGTAGGAGACATACACCTGGTGACCTCGCCATCTTGACTCTCTGCGCATGTGCAGACCTACGGTAACTCAGAGAGGTCAAATTTCAACATAACTGTATTCACAGTCAGTATTCTACATCCCCTTTCTTTAGTTAATGCCCATAACCATAAACRTTTTAAAACCATACCATTTAACATTTAATTGACAACACAGAACTCATGTCAAACTCAAATGATACATATGTGATTAACATACATAATACAGAATATGTGATTAACAAACTGTCTGACATAACCCAGAATCATAATGAGATAAAATAAAGGTTAATTACCAAACAGTTTCAAACATTCAACATGCACTTCTCTTTTATAGTCAGTATTATAACACCATACAGAGCTTAATAACAACAAACATGCTCTCRACAGATCTAATCTCTGTATTTTGGATTGGGTTTACTGATACGACCTGAGCGGGTTCTGTAAAGACTGTCTTTCACATTCAAAGGTTGGTCAGCGACTGAAACTCGGGCCAAGGGGCTCTCAGAGTCCATATTCTGTTCTGTGCATTCATGTTCATTGGCTGTAACATGCCTTGGTATATCAGTGTCTTGGTGATTGTCATGAGGATTGACCTGAGATGGAGCAGGTTCAGCAACAGGTATGATGTGCTTTCTGTTCCTCCTGTATGTTTGTCCCTCTGACTGTATCAGATAAGATCTGGGTTCTTTGCATTTTTCATTCACAACTCCTATGCGGTCATATCCTTTGAGTGTTTGAAGTCTTACAACCTGTCCTTCTGATAGGGGTTGGAGAGGTCGGCTTGTTTTGTCATAGTGGACCTTTTGAGCGAGTCTTTTACTGAGAAGTTCAGCACGCACTTCCTCTGGCTTGCACATTTTGGGTTTAAGCAGTCCTTTGGAGACAGGGAGAGTAGWGCGTGTCTGTCTTGACATCAGCCTTTGTGCTGGAGAACCAAGTTTGGTGTCGCGGGGTATGTTCCTTAAATTGAGTAAGCTGAGAAAGACATCAGTTTTATCTCTGTGAGATTTTTCCATGAGGCTTTTGGCACTACGAACAGCTCTTTCTGCTAATCCGTTAGACTGTGGATAGTCAGGGCTGCTGGTTACATGTGTGAAGTCCCACTGATTTGCAAAGTCTTTAAAGCATTGACTTGTGAACTGTCGTCCATTGTCTGTTATGAGAGTGTGAGGTGTTCCATGGACTGAAAAGTGACGTTTCAGTTTACCGATGAC